ACTGTTTTTATTCTTCAAGGAAAGTGTTGAGTTAACAAGCAAAACTGTGACGTGTGCTCTTGGTGCTTTCTTAACTGAATTGTAAGACATATAATACAGTACAGTGCAGGTTTGATCCACCTCTCATTTAAACATAGTTTTGCTTTGGCATGATAATCACCCCAAACGCACTACCAGTGCAGTAAAAACATCATCAGTCATGAAATTGGCCTCCTTAGAGCCCAGACCTCAACATTATTGAAGTTGTGTGTTATCATCTTGACTGAGAATGAAACAAAAGGCATCCATCCAAAGAAAAGCTTTGGATATCTTTAAGGACACCTGGAGAACACTTTGTGAAGTTCAAGTTCAAATTTATTTATATAGCACCTAAAACAACAGGTGTTGACCAAAGTACTGTACAATACAATACAATGGGCAAGGCAATAAACAAACAAACAAAAAAAAACAGAATAGTGTTTTAGAAGAGAATAAAATCATAAAGTATAATAGTAACAAACTCATGATGAATCAAAAGCCAGAGAATAAAAATGGGTCTTTAGATGACTTTTAAAAGTATCCAGTGTTGAGGAGGATCTGATATGCAAAGGCAATGTATTCCAAAGTTTGGGGACAGCGACAGCAAATGCCCGGTCTCCTCTGTGTTTTAATCTGGACCTAGGGATAACCACATGAAGAAATTACAAAAACGAGTTCAGTCTGTGTAGAAGAATAACTGGTCGCACAAATTGTCCAGTTTTTTTCTTTATTTACTTTGATTTCATATATATTTGCAGATGTTTCAATAAATCGCTCCACCTTCCCATTTCCCTAGTAAAATATGAAGAAATAATTGATGGCTCAAGACTTTTGCACAGTGCTGTAAGGATTAGTGTGGTATGGAGCAGCCAGTAAGTTTGTGCTTCAGCCTGTTTGTTAGCACCAAACACACTAAATGTGTCTGTATGGTTTATCTTGCTCACCAAGTTTGCTGTAGTTTACAAAACAAACAAAACAAAAATCAGCTGGTGGCAAAAGTACTAATCTACATGATGTAATGTTCATCACAAGGTTATGTGTCAGACATTGTTGGTCTGTTGAACTTTGGCTCAGACACATTAGCTGGTACACTGGTATCTACAGATGATTTCACTGCTGGCAGAAGCACAGTGACTGTAGATGTTTAGCAAACTGTGTTTGCTTTTAACCACAGCAGTTTCGTGAAATGTCAGCACAAATCACCTGTTTTCTTTACCTTATCCAGCTTCACATCATATAAGCGTGAAGCCCATTTCCATTTGGGCACTATGCTAAAAGTGCATATAGCACAGTTCTTGCTGTATTGCTTAGCCGTCTTAAAGCAGTGAGCTCCCGACACTGTCCCAGTGTCATCAGTCACTTTCTTAATGATCCCACGTCAACACAGAAAAGCTCCACCCTTCCACCTAATGGTGCGTGTGGTGTTTAACTTTGGGGGATAAGTTTATAATCACCCAGTACCAGAATCTGAAAAATGAGAAGTCCTTCTCTGCAACCACAGTATCAACTCATCACTGCTGTACTGTTTGATTTTTAGATTGTGCCATCCCATCTCATGTTCCGTGTTTTCAGCACGTGCTGTTCATATTTCCAGCCACAAGGTGCCACCAGAGTCCTTCAGAGCTGCATCTATGCTTGTTTTGTTTTTTTGTGGGGTTTTTTGTACTTCTCACATCCTTGTTGGGAGCTTGCTCAGCAACAAAGGGAGCACGTAACACCACAGAGGGCAGGGCTGGTTTATTATGAGGTGTGGCTATGGCGTGCTAAAATGGAAATCTTTCTGGTTGTGGTGTCAATGTGTCTCCTTCTGTAAATAGAGCCGCAAATGCAGGTTCACTTAGGTTTAAGAGGGCGCACAAATCAAAAGATACAACTCATAAATTTTTTTCTACTATATTTTAACTTTATTGATGTTAGATTCAAGTGTGACCCCCGCACCACTAATATTTTACCAGATTGTGATTTTTAAAATATAGATAAGATAAGGAGATACGGTACACCAAACCTTAACTTCAGTTCTTATCCTGAAATATCTGTCAACAAGTGATCACTATATAAATTTAAACTAGCTCATGTAATGTCACCTTATGGCCACAGTGAAGGCTCCAAAACACACAACACACACAGACTACTAGTCAAAAGTGTGGACACACCTGATTTAATGCTTTTCTTTATTTTTGTGACTATTTACATTGTAGATTCTCACTGAAGGCATCAAAACTATGAATGATCACGAATGAAATTTTGTAGTAAGCAAAAATGTGTGAAATAAGTCAAAAGACACTATATTTTAGATTCTTCCAAATAACCACCCTTTAGCTTTCATTACTGCCTTACACACTGTTGGCATTCTCTTGATGAGCGCTAACTAACTACTGAGTTAGTCACCTGAAATGGTTTTGCAGCAGTCTTGAAGGAGTTCCCAGGACTGGTCCTTTTGCCTTCACTCTGCAGTCCATCTCATCCCACACCATCTCGACTGGGTTTAGGTCAGGTGATTGTGGAGGCCAGGCCATCTGGCGCTGCACTCCATCATGCTCCTTCTTGGTCAAACAGCCCTCACACAGTCTGGAGGTGTGTTTAGGGTCATTGTGTGTTAAAAAATAAATGATGGTCCAACTGAATGCAAACCA